CACCAACTGACCCATGAAAACTTTGACCCAAAATTTACTGTCTACAAGATATGCAGGGATAAAGATAGATCAGCTAGAGCAGAGATTGAGGGACTGCCCAACCAATGACCGGCCCATCCAAAGACCTACCCTATCAGAGAGTGCCAACCCTTTACACTATGAATGATACTCTGCTAAGCTTGCAGACAGGAGCCTGACAGAGTTGTCCTCCAAGAAGGCTACAAAGTAGCACCTCAAAACAGATGTGGAGACTCAAAGACAAACATTGGGTGATGGGTAGGGAGTCTTATGGGAAAGTAGGCAGAAAGAGAAAATGCCTGCTGTTTTCTTAAGGGAAATAAAAGAGGAGTAGATCTGAAAAAGAGGGGAGGTGAGAAGTAGTGGGGAGTGGTGGAGGAAGGGGAAACTGGTTGGGATGTATTGCATGGGATACAAATATATTTTAAAAGAGAATGAAAAGGGGGAAGAAATACAAAAAAGAAAGGAAGGAGCAAAGATAGAAATAAAATGGAAAAAATAAAAGATGAAATAGAAAAAGGTAAACAGAGAGGAAGAACAAGAGAGAGAGGAAGGCAAGGAGGGAGGGTGACAGCGACACAGAGAGAGAGAGAGAGAGAGAGAGAGAGAGAGACAGAGACAGAGAGACAGAGAGACAGAGAGAGAAAGAGAGATTCGGATCTGTACTACTAGAATACAATACCAATTAGTGTTCCCCAAAGGACTTTTCATAGAAATTATCCTGTTGTGTGTTATCCCCATGATAAATAAACATATTTGGTCAAATAGACACATGCACACAAATGTTCTTCCTCCAATAATCATACTAGCCAAATGATGGCAAATATTCTTTAATTGAAGAATAAATAAATGAAATGTTTGTTAACATAATAATATAATTTAGGTGTACACTGATGTATTGATATTTTCTGCAGGATGTTTGTTTGATGAAGGTGCCTTCTCACATTGCATATTGTTGGAAACAGAAAATGTTTCTGCCTGGGAAAATCGTTCTGTAATCCTACAACATAACTTCAGTGGGGGTCATGGATATGCCTATGAAAATGGATGATGGATAGGGTCACTCCAGTACTAAAGAAGAGGAACTAAGCACAGCATATATTCATGTAACATAAATTTTATTGACAAAAAGTAGAATGTGAATATTTAGATAGAAAAAAATATTACAGAGAAAGAGAAACAGCTTATATGAGCAGGACTCTGGCTAGGCAGATGTTCAGGATATTTGCTGCAGACAAGGTAAGGATCAGAAGAATTCAACTGGTGTGGAGCGGAGGAAGACATCTCATCAGATGTGATGTGCAATCAGATAGCAATAATGATCATTTCTGATGACTTGAGTTATCAGGATCATTGTAAATTATAGGAGACTTGAAAACATGCACATTGTTAGCAGAAGACTCAAAGTTCTGAGTCAAGCAACACAGGTATTACTCAATAGATATTGATATAATAGGTATTTTAAAGATTTAATGTAAAGACATACTTAAAATATTAATATTACATTCCTCAATCTGACTTAAATATCTTTCAGTGTTTTACCACTTTTAGACATTTATTGGTTAAGTTTAGAATTTTTTGAATGTTGGGTAGTTCAGGCTGGAGGGTTGACATATATCATATCTTTCCTCCCAGATCTGAGGAAGCAAACAGATACAACAATTAATGGACAAATCAAACACAGTCTTTCCATGCAATAGAATATTAAACAATTTGAGTAAAGAAGAATTTTGACAATAGATACTGGAGGGTACTTTATTTCTTAATATTCATGCCTACAATGGAAATTTCTTTCAACATACCTAGGGTAAGAAAAATACTCAATCCACAGACCTAGCCAAATTTCTACACAAAGAAAATGAAATGGATGCTGAGTTTGAGGGAGAGAGAATAGAAGATTACTGATTAATGAGTACAGAGTTTCCCCCCATAAGAGAAAGCCTGATACTAGAGTTACATGGTAATAGCTGCACAAAAAAGTGGCAAGTACCCAAGGCTGAGAAGGTATGTACACAAACTAATACATATGTAGTAAAATTAAAGGATTGACATTCAAGTCTTACTTGCTGATGCAATCTCAAATACAGAAACCATTAGAGGGTATCATGATGAGATCCTTAGTACTAGGTCATTCATTTTCTCTTTTCGGCCTTGGCCTTGAACATCACATTCCTGTTTTGGTGTCACACTCCACTTAAGCTTCTTTTGAAGCCAGTTGTATTCCATTGATAAAGGGAAACCCCTTTCCAGGGTCTATATTCTCACAGGATCCTACTATAGCTCTGGATCAATCATGAAATAATAGACTAGAACATCCTCAGTCCATTCCATTAAGTTACCAAAACCTCTCACTCTAATTTAAAGAATTGTTTGTACTGGATAGTTTTATGTTAGCTTGATGATACAACATAGTCATCAGAGAGAAAGGAGCTGACAAAATGTCTCTATAAGATTGGGTTGCAAACACTTATATAGACCTATAAGATGTGATAAACATAATGAAATCTGTACACCTAAAAAAGATAATCAAGAGAGCGGACATGGGGTAAGATGATCAATCCTCGTTTAGAAAGATAGATGGGATGTGCATTGAACGTATGACAGGAGTCTACTGAGCGCATTTGAAAGACTCTAACTAGCTGTGTTTTCAAAGCAAAGACTCATGACCAAACCTTTGGCAGAGTACAGGGAATCATAAGAAAGAAGGAGAGTTAGTCTGATGGGGAAAGGATAGGAGCCCCACAAGGACAAAATATATCTGGGCACAGGGTCTTTTCTGAGACTGACATGCAACCAAGGACCATGTATGAATGTAACCTAGAACCTCTGCTCAGATGTAGCCTGTGGTAGCTCAGTAACCAATTGGTTTCCCATAGTGAGGGGAACAAGGACTATTTCTAACAGGAACTCAATGGTTGGCTCTTTGGCCTCCCCACCCCCCAAGGGAGGAGCATTCCTGTTAGGCCACAGAGGAGAGGTTTGCAGCCAGTCCTGAAGATACCTGATAAAACAGGATCAGATGAATGGGGAGGAGGTCCCCCCTATTAGTGGACTTGGCAAGGGGCATGGTGGAGATGAGGGAGGGAGGGACTGGGAGGGAATGAGGGATCGGGACATGGCTGTGATACAGAGTTAATAAAATGTAACTGATAAGAAAAAAATAAAATTCAAAAAAAAAATTAAAAAAAAAAAAAGATTGGGTTGCAAGGCAAGCCTGTAGGGCATTTTCTTAATTAGTGATTTATTGGGAAGGGCCCAGCCATTTATTGATGGTGCCATCCCTGGACTGGTGCTACTGGCTTTTATAAGAAAGCAGCTATTCTGGGTTTATAAGAAAGCAGCCGAGTACACCATAGTGAGCAAGCCACTGAGCAACAGTTGTCTATGGCTTCTGCATCAGGCCCTGCCTCCAGGTCGCTGCCCTGCTTGAGTTCCTGTCCTGACTTCATTTGATAATGATTTATGAGGTGGAAAAGTAATCTGAATAAACCCTTTCCTCCCCAAGTTTCTTTTGCCATGGTGTTTCATAACAGCAACATGACCTAAGACATTGTTAGACTAAAATTCCAGAGACTTTACCAGGAAAAAAAATGTTTCCCTTGAGCCACTTGTGAACAAAAAGCATCGAATATCATGCGATCCAAGGAGGAAAGGCTGGTTGTCTGCCTTCGTCTGATAAGATCTACAGCGTCAGCTCTACGCAGTCTACTGAAGCAGCCCACCCCCAGCCCTTCAGGACAGGTGGGATCAGATCTGGGATCAGATCTCAGATCCCTGAGCCTGGAGGCCAAATCCAGTTACCAGCATATCCAATCAGAAGAAGGGCAAGACTGACTTATTGGTCAGAAACTGTATTTAAGCCTCAAGTGAAGTGCAGCAGGGTAAGATCCTCGGATCTCAGCCACATCTGAAGAACTGAGCTTGTTGAGTGCATAAAGGCATCAGAAGTCTTCCTGGTAAGGCCCTACTTCTTCTAAGACACAATGAGAAATGACACAGGATAAATGAACCCTTCTGGAGAATCTGGCAGAATTTCAAGGAATGGAACTATCTTCTCAACATCTGCAGCCTTACTGTGTGGATGTAGAAGAAGGTAGAGAAACTAAAGGGAGTAACAGGAGCTACATGGGTATACTTGACATTGGTTCCCATAAAGTAAAAACCTAATTCTTTTTACAGAGAGTAATAGCTGGTTCCTTGTACTTCAGGTATCATCTTCATCCTCTTGCATATTGCTACTGGCAAAAAGACAATTATTCATTGACATGCGCAAAAGTATTAGCAGATGGCACAGCTCTCACAAAGTCTTATAGTGAGTGTTGTTTAAGAGGCACATTAAGTCACGATTTGAATCCTGGGAGTAGCTATCTCTTGTACCCCTACTGCTGTCCAGTGATTTTTCCTTGTGACCATTTCATTACTGAAGTCGTGAGTATGGTTTGTAGTCACAAAGATGGAAACAAGGGAATAGTAGTGATCCTTTTCATATTTTCAGAGGACAACAGCTCAGAAATTTTTTACTTAAGAGGAGAGTTTCAAGACAAGCCCACATATCTACTGTAAGGTAGGGATATGAATATTATTTGGCCACAACTCTCAGAGTCACACTGTGCGTAGGAGCAGATGCCACATGCTCCATACAAATCTATGTCCAAAGTCCCTGATTGTCTCACTTGCTATTTTGAGGTGCATGGACATACTTCTGATAATGTAGGTTTGCAATACACAGGCTGTTTTCACTCCTAGAATTCTGGGTAGATGCTCTGCATTTTGGTGGAACAACTAAATACCATCCATGCCATCTTTAAACCCAAATACATATTTATTCATTTCCAAAACCTGTGGGTAAATATTTGAAAAAGTACTTCAAGTAATTTTAACCACCATGGAAGTCTTTATTTCTCAGGAAAGAGAAAGGAGAATTTTAGAAGAGCTGCAGTTGCCCCATCCTCATTCTCTACCTCACTCTAGGTGCTTGAGACATGACTCCTGCTGTCTGTCTGGCCATTCTGTGCTTGGGAGTGGCCTCAGCTACTCATTCACCTGATCCCAGCTTGAATTCTGAATGGCAGAATTGGAAGATAAAATATGAAAAAAACTACAGCCTGGTTAGTAATATGAAAATTATTCAGAGAAACCCTCACAGAGAATGAGTGGGATGTATGAGTGCAGAGGTCATAGAGCCAACCTCCTCTTAAGGAATTGCCCAAAATCATGCTCTGAATGCAGAGGTTGATCACCATCCCTGTTGCGAGGTATGTGGAGAATGGCTTTGCTGCAATGTCCTGAGACCTGTATCATGACCTCTATTCACCTCTTGCAGTGAGTCCCCTTGATCAGCTTGTGCACTGGTTTAATTAGAAAGAAATGTCACCCATTATGTTTATTTCCAGGAGGAAGAAGGGCAGAAGAGAGCAGTATGGGAAGAAAATATGAAACTGATCAAACAGCATAATGTTGACTATGACCAGGGAAAGAATGCCTTCACCATGGAAATGAATGCCTTTGGTGACATGGTTAGTGTAACATGATTGCTCCACATGTTTGTATGTACGTTTGTTTTTTCCCTTCAATTCTTTATGTGAAGTATTTTGGTTTTTAGTGATTTATATTTTTTTCCTTTAAGACTGGAGAAGAATTCAGGAAAATGATGATTGATATTCCAGTCCCAAATGTTAGGAGGAAGAAAAGTATCCAGCAACGCATTGTTAGTAATCTCCCCAAATTTGTGGACTGGAGAAGAAGAGGTTATGTGACTTCAGTGAAGAGACAGGTATAACAGCACCACATGCCTGTCTTGTTCAACGACTGGGAAGAAAAATAGCATTGACATCTCTGTGTGTGTTGAGTGTAGAGTGATACATAATTTACCTCTAATAATATTTCTTATTTTTGAAGGCTTCATATGTTTGTACAATGTATATTGATCATATCCATTCATCATTATCTACCTCCACCTAGTGGCCTCCACCCTATCACTCTCCAAACTGCATGTCCTATATATTGTTGGTAATAGAGCCAGACAGCATTGTGTCCTTCCCTTATGTTCAGGCATATGCATATGCATGTCTGTGTCACCATTCACTGAGGTACAAGAAATCTACCAGTAGTCAAGTGCCCCAAAAGAATGAAACTTCCTCCTTCTCCACTAATCACCTGCTAAAAGTTCATTCTTTGACATTACATTCAGCTACCTGATTTGGGTTTGCCTGTCTTTGTGAGTGCCTGTTTTTTGTTTGTTTATTTGTTTGTTTGTTTGTTTTTTCTCTTTCTAGGGCAGATGTAATTCTTGTTGGGCTTTTTCTGTGGCTGGTGCCATAGAAGGACAAATGTTCCGGAAAACAGGCAGACTGGTCTCATTGAGTCCACAAAACCTAGTGGACTGCTCTAGACCTGAAGGCAATCATGGCTGCCATATGGGTAGCACATACTATGCTTTAGAGTATGTGTACAAAAATGGAGGTCTGGAGGCTGAGGCAACCTATCCATATGAAGAAAGGGTAAGTGGATCTTCTATAGTATTGTCATTTCAGCCAACTTCAGGCAAGGGACGATTGCATAAAAAAAATTCCAGTTTTCAGAATTCACATTGAAAAGCAGAATCATTATAAACCACCAGTGTCTCATTATCAATCTCTAACAGCTTTATAATGCAATGATTCCATGTAGCTGTTTCTGCTTCTTTGCACACAGAGAATATGCAAACCATTCCACATATAGTAGATATTTCTCCCTGTAGAAATTTCTTATGGACAGCAAGACCAGTGAGATGTCACTGAAGACATGAGATTCTATTTTCAGTTCTAAACCTCCAAGTTCTTTTCTCTTCCTGGGATGATCTATAACAGCTCAGACTTGGGGATACTCAGCTGCAAAATCATTGTTGTGGTCTGGACTCATGCTCCCCAGGAGGTGGATGGAAATAACTGACTCTCTTATCTTTTATCCTTTCAAAGGAAGGCCACTGCAGGTACCATCCTCATCGTTCTGCTGCTAGAGTCAGGGGCTTTTCTATTGTCCCAAGGAGTGAAAAAGCCTTAATGCATGCTGTAGCAACAATAGGGCCCATCTCTGTTGGAATTGATGCTGGACATGAATCTTTCAGGTTTTATAAGGGAGGTAAGCATGTGTTCTTTAGTGGTTCTCAGTCTGTAGGTTGTAACCCCTTTGAGGGTCAAGTGACATTTTCACAAGTGTCTCATATCAGGTACCCTTCATATCAGATATTTATATCATGATTTGTAACAGTAGCAGAATTCCAGTTACGAGGTAGCAATGAAAATAATTTTATGTTCGGATTCACCACAACATGAAGAATTGTATTAAAGGTCACTAGGAAGGTTGAGGCTCACATATTATTATTATTTGGCATATTTTTAATCTTCCAAATATTAAGAATGCTTGTGATGCCACTGCTAGGTTGAGGGGCCACTCTACTGTGTATAACTTTAATGTAAACAACTAGTACTAGCATGCTCCCATGCATATGAGCACTTTGAAGCTGAATATCCCCAAGTCTGGGCTGTTATAAATCATCCCAGAAAGTGAAATGAACTGGAAGACATGTAATTCCCATGCATGGGAGTACTTTATAGTATATAATTATTATTATGCTTAATTTACTCAACATTTCTCCACTTGATATATCTTAAGATATGGAAAAATTGTCTTTCTAGAGCTAAATTCCTAAAAATTTATATTCAGTTATACTTTCATGGAATGGAGTTCTAAACACAAGATGAGAAGGAGTCATATATATATATGTATATTGGATTATATATATATATATATATATATATATATATATATATGGAAGTGTTTATTAACAAAGTTATGCTCATTTGTATTTCTTTGCATTTTGATGAGAACCTGTATGAGGATTCCTGTTAACAATGGGCCTTATTTTTATTGTAATTTTTCTTTTTGTTCAGTTAGAAAATGTCTTACTTACTGTTTTTGGCCGTGGTCACTATTAGGTTCCTGTGGCCTCTCACTCTTTTGGTTTTATTTTACAGGTATTTATTATGAACCAAACTGCAGCAATGATAACATTAATCATTCTGTTCTGTTAGTCGGATATGGCTATGAGGGAAGAGAGTCAGATGGCAGGAAATACTGGCTGATAAAGAACAGGTATAAATTGAATATATTATTTATATTTAAGTTTTCAAATGTTTTTTTCTTCTTGGAGTCAGAATTTGGATAAGAGTCCCCGTAAATCTTCTCCAACATATATATAAGAAAACTTTTTCTTTGTGACCAATTATAAGTGTGTATGCAGTATATATATTTGCATGTGTAAGTACCATATGAATACATGTGTGCATGTGTGTGTGTGTGTGCAGGCCTGTAGATCCAGTGTTGATATCAGTTGTTTTCTCTTATCTTTTATTTTTCATTAGTTACAGTTTATTCACTTTGTTTTCCAGCTGTAACACCCTCCCCCATTCCCTCCCAATCCTACCCTCCCTCCCTCTTCTTCTTCTTCTTCTTCTATGCCCCTCCCCCAGCCCAATGATAGGGGAAGTCCTCCTCCCCTTCCATCTAATCATAGTCTATCAGGTCTCATCAGGACTGGCTTCTTTGTCTTCCTTTGTGGACTAGAAAGGCTGCTTTCCCCTCAGGTGGAGATGATCCAAGAGCAAGCCCATGATTTCATGTCAGAGATGGTCCCTGGTCCTATTATTGGGGAACCCTCTTGGATGCTGAGCTGCCTTGGGCTACTTCTGTGCAGGGGTTCTAAGTTATCTCCGTGCATGGTCCTTGTTTGGAGTAGCTGTCCAGCATTGAGGCTGTTGATCTCAACAATCCTAGAGTTTCCTATCTTGTGGAGTTGCTTAGCCAGATTGCTTCATATGTGTCCTCACCTCTGGGATTTCAGGCAAGCTGCAATGATGACCTGGCTTTTAAAACATTATTATTTTCACTCATATGAGGGTGTTTATGTGAGTTTATTCTACATGTGAGCAGTTGCCCCTGCAGAACTGAAGAGGACATTAGAGTCTCTGAATATGTATTTACAGAAGGCTGTGAGCTGATTGACTTGGGTGTTGGGAAAGAAACAAGGGTTTTGTGGGAAAGCCTCATATTCTTAGGCACAGATCCATCTTCCAGCCCCTGTTCTGGAACTACAGAACAGAACTCGAACTACAGTCCTTTCTCTTTTTGTATCTAACACGTGACCCTTTGAATTCTATGGCTGGAGGGGCAACCAATTTATAGTGTATGAATTGTTCAGATTCAGTCACTGCTTTCCTTGGGTGCTATTTTATTTATGTCATTGATTTTATAAAAGCTGGCCTATTGTTAGTTCTGTGCCATCTGTGGGTAGAAAATGTCCTGATTTCACTGTTGTGATTTTCAAAGTCCAATGTGAGATAACGCTTGATTCTTAGAGGTTGGAATTCTATATTTTCTGATCATTTTGTTAATTATGCTTCTGGTTCAGTATCTACATGAGGAGTCTGTAATAAATCCACTGTTCCTTGTTCTTTCTACTAAATGAAAAACATGATTCCTTTCAGTCATGGTGAAAGATGGGGCATGAATGGCTACATGAAGATTGCCAGAGACAGGAACAACCACTGTGCAATTGCTACATATGCCATATACCCCATAGTGTAAGCTGCCTGATTGTAGCAAGGAATGACTGGAGTGTGGAGAGCCTTAAAGAGGAGGCACTTCCCCTTTAACATGACCGGACTCTGCTGCGTGGATAGAACCCTTGAGTTACTGTACAACATGCTGTGAAGACATGGCAGTTGCTGTAGATGAAGCTCTGCACTGATTTGTAATAACTTGGTTTTCTTTGTTTTAATTACTGTACAAAATAATGTATTTAAAAAGGTTTGAGTTCAAATGTAGTGTCTGTGTTCTTTTTGTTTTGATACTACTTTTTAAATTTATGTATGTAATTCAAATTTCAATTTGTTTTTTAGTTCAAATATATTTATATTACTTTCCTTTGCCTCTCTCTAGCTCTTCATATATGCCCCTTCATTTTCTCTCAGATTGATTATTTCTTTTTCTTTGGTGATTATCATTATCTGTACATATCTGTTTATATGTATATATACATGAATATATAATAAAACCTGATGAATGAAGAATTCATTTTGTTCTTTCTGTGCACATGACTTCAGGACTGACCACTTTGCATTGGGTAATTGATTAGGAGTTTGCCCCTGAGAGAGCTCATTCTCCTTCTCTTAGTATTCATAACTCCTGCACTTAAGGTTCACTGTGGAAGAGAAAGCAAAAAGACTAAAAGCTAGAGGATCACGAAATCTGCAATGAGATTGCATGTCATAGAAATGGCTACCCAAACAGTACATTAACAGTAGCAATATCAACTGACATCCTAACTGGGAATGGGGAACTTCTCCAGAGGTCCCACCCTTAGGCAAACATCTACAGGTAATCAATCCAGTGACTTTCACAGTTATACAAGTAACTCAATATGAAGACATACATTTATATAATATTGGTGTTCTTAGAAAAAGAATACCAAACTTTTTTGTTATAGTCAATTCCCATCTTTAGTTATAAGAGTGCATGTGTTTCATGAGGTTTTGTGTATCCACTATTAAATTTTGCATTCTGAAGTGTGTATGGACATTTCCGCTTGCAAATGTAGCTAATCCAGTTTCAATTCTTATCCACTCCATGTAGTGAGATGGCACTATGTGCCACATCACTACTCTACTCTGGACTGTGGATCTCCCTTGCCCCTTACCTCAATCCTGCATACTCTCTTTCCTGTGACTGTATTGAAGACATCAGTATTATTCGGTCTGTAGCTACACGATTTTTTTTCAAGTGATACTCTTCAGAAGTTTAGGAGTCTCAACACTCAAGAGCACTGAACTTGTCTTTTAAATACAGTCTTCTGATGTCCATCCTCTTTGCCTTTCGGGATGGGGATTGAGCGTTTTAGTCAGCATCCTCTCTCTTGATTAGTTTCTTTAGATGAACAGATTTTAGTAGGTTTATCCTATAAGTCTATATGAGTGAGTATATGCCGTGTGTGTCTTTCTGCTTCGGGGACAGCTCACTCAGGATGATCCTTTCCAGGTCCCACCATTTACCTGCAAATTTCATGATTTCCTTATTTTCCTTTTCAGAGTAATACTCCATTGTGTACCACAACTTCTGCAAAGAGGATGGACATCAGAAGAAGAAGAAAGCAGGAAACAACCTAGGAACCTGCCACAGAGGGCCTCTGAAAGACTCTGCCCCGCAGACTATCAAAGCAGATGCTGAGACTTTATGGCCAACTGTTGGGCAGAGTGCATGGAATCTTATGTAAGAAGTGGGAAATAGTAGGTTATGGAGAGGACAGGAACCCCACAAGGAGAGCAACAGAACCAGAAGATTTGAACACAGGGGTCTTCCCAGAGACCCATACTCCAACCTAGTACCAGGCATGGAGATCACCTAGAACCCCTGCGCAGATGTAATCCATGGCAGTTTAGTGTCTAAGTGGGTTACATAGTAATGGGAAGAGGGACTGCCTCTGACACAATCTGATAGGCCTGCTCTTTGATCACCTCCCCCTGAGGGGAGAGCAGTCTTACCAGGCCACAGAAGATGACAATGCAGCCACTTCTGATGTGATCTGATAGACTAAGATCAGAAGGAAGGAGAGGAGGACTTCCCCTATCAGTGGACTTGGGGAGGGGCATACGTGAAGAAGGGGGAGGGAGGGTGGGATCGGGAGGAGAGGAGGGAGGGGATTATGGGGGGATACAAAGTGAATAATGTGTAAAAAAATAAATAAATAAAAAGAAAAAATAAATACAGTCTTCTGGAATCACTGTGCTATTGTATTATTGGTTTTTGTTGTTAATGTTTGAGTTTACCAATCTGATGCACTGAAATTTGCCATAGGCATATATGTATGGAAAAATAGTGAACCCATATTATATTGAGTGTGTACATTCCTATATCTTTATATCAATACACACACACATATAGTTTAGTACCAACTTTATATACTGTAGTATATAGGGCAGTAGGATATACTGTAGTATATACTGTAGTATCTAGGGTAGGTGTTAGAATGTATCCTGAAATTCTATAATGTCCCCATGTAGGAAAAACAGAAATGTGGATTTCTACATGGTTAGTAAAAGAGCTTACTAAAATAATAACCCAGAGGCTGACCTGATATGACTGAATAGTGGCAAGCCTCCTTGGACTGGGGACCATAAAAAATGGAAAAGACAGTTACTCATGCCCTAATGCCAATCATGCAACTAACCTCATAATCTTCTACAGTCAAAATTGTTCTTCTTTTTGTTGGGCATAGCAGGAACTACTATGGGCAGCTCTGACTAAAGGATGGTGTTCTAATTAAGAATCAAGTGTTGTAGCATTTTCATCACCCTCTGGGAGTAGTCAGATCAGGCACAGGTTGAAAATAAAGTAACTTGTTTTTAGGCACTTGAAATTCTAGGTTACTCCAAATTTCAAGAGGCAAGCCATTGTAGAACCTAGAGGTAACTTGGTTTTCCACATGCAAAGTAAAATCATAGATGAGAGAGATATTGTAAACTTGCCTCTCCCTCCTTTAATGTTCAGGCTATGTAACCACTATTTAAGGGAATTTCCATTTAGATACTTAATAGTCCCCCTTACACTTTCTACCAAACCCTGATACCAATAAGTGTAGTTGGTCCAGTGGCTGCATGAACAGTCTCATATATAACTTCCACAAGAGCTACTAAAGTCTATTTCAACACAGGAAGAGTGTGTCTTTCAGATGGGAAGCTCCATGCTCCATTCACATGTCATAGTTTGAATAATTTTTGAGCATTTGAATATTTGGTTTCCAGCTGTTGGCTGTTCTGAATAATAAGGAATTGTGGCAATGATGGAGGAAGGCTGTTTCGGGTAATGTTGTAAGTTTTGAAAAGATTCAGTTTTAGGTGGGCTCTCTTTGCTTCTGGTTCATGATTTGAGATGTGAGCTCTCAGCTTCACCCCAGCACCTGCTCCCTCTGCTCCACCACTGCGAACTCTAACACTCTGGAATTGTAAGCCCAAGACAAACCCTTCCATTCTGTAAGTTGCCTTTGTCACAGCATACTTTTATTGTAATAAAAAATAACAAATACACCACCATAGACTGTGATGGCCTTACACCCCAGCCATGATTCAGACGAAGACCCTAGTCCTGAGAATTATTCAGACTGTGGAAAAGAAAGCACTGATTTCTTTTTTCTCTACAGACAAGTATTACTACAACCGTTACTGTAGCCATCAGATTTTTAGCCTTTTCAAATGTACTCATCATGGCCAAAGTCAGAAAAGATAAACAATTTTACATACATATAAATTAATTTATATTAATTTAAATATTATGACCACAAACTGACAAGGAAGAGAAAACACATGCAATATAGTTGCATTTTAGTAGAGTGTACTGCAGTGTTTGCTATTCAATAATAAACCATATTAGAAACTAAATATAGGGAGATGATTTGAAATAAGAATCTAAAGAGGGTATTTACAGATCTACACACAAGCACTCTTTTTTTAATTATTTTCTTTATTAATTATACTTCATTCACTTTGTATCCCCCCCGTGGTTCTGTCCCTCCTCCCGTCCCAATACGTCCCTTCCTCCACCCTCTGCATGCATGCCCCTTCCCAAGTCCACTGATAAGGGAGGTCTTCTTTTCCTTCCTTCTGATCCTAGTCAATTAGGTCTCATCAGGAGTGGCTGCTTGTCTTCTTCTGTGGCCTGGTAATGCTGCTTCCCCCTCAGGGGGAGGTAATCAAAGAGCAGGCCAATCAGTTCACGTCAGAGACAGTCCCTGTTCCTATTACTATGGAACCCACTTGGATACTGAACTGCCATGGGCTACATCTGTGCAGGGGTCTTAGGTTATCTCTATGCATAGTCCTTGGTTGGAATATCAGTCCCCTGTGCCCAGATCTTTTGGTTCTGTTGCTCTCCTTGTGGAGTTCCTGTCCTCCTCAGATCTTACTGTTTCCCACTTCTTTCATAAGATTCCCTGCACTCTGCCCAAAAGTTGCCCATAAGTCTCAGCATCTACATTGATAGTGTGCAGGGGAGAGCTTTTCAGAGGTTCTCTGTGTCAGGCTCCTGACTTGTTTCCTCTTTTCTCCTTCTTCTGATGTCCAGCTTCTTTGCCTTTCTGGATAGGAATTGAGCATTTTAGCAAGAGTCCTCCCTCTTGATTAGTTTCTTTAGGTGTACAGATTTTAGTAGGTTTATCTTACATTATATGTCTATATGAGTGAGTATATACCGTGTGCATATTTCTGCTTCTGGGATAGCTCACTCAGGATGATATTTTCCAGATCCCACCATTTACCTGCAAATTTCATGATTTCCTTGTTTTTTTTTTTTTTTATTGCTGCGTAATATTCCATTGTGTAGATATACTACAATTTGTGCATCCATTCCTCCACTGAGGAGCATCTGGGCTGTTTCTAGCTTCTAGCTATTACAAATAAGGCTGCTACAAACATAGTTGAGCAAATGTCCTTATTGTGCACTTGAGCCTTTTTTGGGATATATGCCTAGGAGTGGTATAGCTGGATCTTGAGGAAGCGCTATTCCTAGTTGTCTGAGAAAGTGCCAGATTGATTTCC